GTGGGGCGGTGGCCGCAGCCCGGGCGGAAGGCCAGCACCGGATCTGGTGCCAGGAGGCAGCTCTCCTCCCAGCCTCTCCCCCGAGCCCAGCTCCGCCCCACTGATGGGGGCTGGCGGCACCCCTGCCCTCCACGACTGCCCTCCCTACCCAGAGCCCCCATGACCAGGGTCCTTAAGCCCCCAACACGGAACACCCAGGAGTCGGCTCACCTAGCTCACCTCTGCCAGGGTGAGTCCTGCAAGGGGAGAGAATATCCCGCTGCTTCCACCTAACCCTGTGACCGTCTCTGCCCCACTGGTTGATTCTGCAGCTTCTCCTCTCTGGCCTGCATCACTCCTGGCTCCTTCCCCTCCTCCCTTGGCCTGGCCTAGTACACTCTTCAGCCCTCTTGGTGAGTAAATCCACCGCAATCCGGGCCTCAGCCTCTTCCCTCCAGACCAGGTAGTGTCCTGACCGGCCCCCTTTTTGAGAAGTCTGGTGCACAAGGCCTCTTTGTCTGCCCTTCCCCGAGCCTTCTGGAAGCCTTCAGGCACAACCTGGCAGTTCTCAGGAACTGAGGCCTGAGGCTCTGGCTCCGTGGCCATCAGAGATTCAGTCTTGGGTGCCAAAGGCCAGCACCCTCCAGACAGCGCCCCCTTGTCAACCCACAAGCCTACAGAGCGGAGGGTCCAGGAGCCCAGAGCAGTGAGACAGGACACAACATCCAGACCAGGATCAGGGCCCAGGTATGAGCTGCTTGCCCCCCACCGCCCGCCCCCAGCGAGGTGAGCCCTCAGCCCTCTTTCCCAGGAGCCAAGTGGGGCCTTCCCTTGGGGGCTTCAGACACGCTGCACCCCCAACCAGATGAAGGCCCCCGTCAAGGGACGGCCTGCTCGGGGCAGAGACAGAAGGAAGGCCCATCCAGGCCCAGGGCACCAGCGTGAACCCACCGCCCATCCCCGGTAGAGCCAGCCGCTCGGAGGCACCACCCCTCCTGTGGCCCATCCTTTCCTCCTCTGCCCGTCCACCCCCGCCCTGTCCCCATGGCCTCCCTGAGCAGCCAGGCCCTTCACCTCCTGGTCCCCTCTGTCTCAGTCCCTGCGTCTTCTGTGCCCTGTGCCTCCTCCCCTCCCCGTCCCCAGCAGAGATGGGCTTGGACGCCCCTCTCCTTTCTTAGCAAACCCCTCTTAGTTGCCGTGGTCCCACTTCCCAACCCCAGCGCCACCCACCCCATATTAACTGTAATTTTGTAAGAAGAGTGACTCGTTGGTTTAATAAATCTCTAGTCATTGTAATAATTTATTGGCTGCCATAATGTATTTATTAGTCACCCACCATTAATAAAAAGTGCCGGCTTTTCCTAGCATGAGTGTGGTGTGTTGCGTCAGTGCCCAAGTTGCTTCCACCGGCGCCCCCCGCACGACACGTGTCCTGGGGCCGGACTGTGGACCACCTGGCAGAGGGGCACAGCCTGCTGGGGCAGGATTCAAGGTGACCGGGATTGTCGTGAGGGCAGAGGCTGGTCTGTCCCGTCCTGTGTGTTTGGTGCCGGCCACGCCCCTGCTCTGGTGGCGGCAGCCAGGCCTCTGGCCACACTCTGCTGGAGACTGGGAGAGACAGGGTGGTGACGACGGCAGGGGTGGGTGCTGTCGCCTGGCTGTGGCCCCTGGCTCCCTCCTCTTTTCTCACATGCTGACAACTCCTCTTGTGAATGTGTTCTTGCATCCGTGTTCTCCAGGGAAGCTTGGAAGGACAAGCTGGGCTCTTGGCTCCTTGGTGATGGGTTCCAGTGTGTTTGGAGGAATGGCGGTGAGGCCTGTGGGGTGTGGAGGGGTTCTCGGTGCCGGCGCCTCCCCTCCCTAAAGCTGCTCCCCTCCCCACTGCCCTCCTTGCATTTCCAGGCTCGGCCCCTCCTTCCAGGCTCACTCCGATGCCCTCCCCACGGGACCAGGTCTGACTGGGGAGCGTAGCTGCCTCCCCGGCCCCACACCTGCCCTGTGCTGCTTGCTCGCTTGCTCGGAACCGGGACTTTTTCACGTGTGTGCATTTTCTCTCCCCAACTAGACTGTGAGCTCTCGGAGAGCAGGAGACTGTGCCAGTCGTTCCTACAGCCCCGTAGCTGCCCCACAGAGGGCCTTGCACACAGATCCAGCTGGTATTGGTGGGAAGAGTGCCCGCTCTGCAGCCCTGGGGCGTGGAGGGGCCGAGCCTTAGCCGAGTGGAACTCGGGAGCCCAGGCAGCTGGCCTGGATTTTTCCTTCGGACCTAAGCTTGGCGGCCTCCAGACCTTCAGCTCAGCCCACATGCCAAATGGGCACAGTCTGCACTCTCAGCTTGGGTCTCCTTGGTGGCCCCTTCTGGTCCTGGGAGTGCCCTGGGCATATGTCCCCACCGTGTCCCCCAACGTCTAGATCAAGTCGAGATAGCTGGGCAGTGAGTTGGGATCTTGCCTCTGGTTGAGGCCTTCCAGCTGTTGTTTGAGCAGCGATAGGACGAGGTGGTATCGTGTGGTGGTGAGGCTTTTCCTATCGAATCCTTGGCTCTCCTCTGCTCCCTGGTGGCTTGGGGACCCTGGGCGTTCCCAGCCCCCACCCCCCTGCGCGTCGATCCACCTGGCCTCCCAGGAAACCTCCGCCTGCCCTTTTCTGAACAGCCTCCATTGAGACGGCACCCGGCGGAAGTGTCTCATGCCTCCCTGAGCGTGACTGTGCAGTGACTGACCAGCAGAAATTGCGGGGACTGAGAATGAAATTGACTGGTTGGGGCTAGGAGGGTAATAAGATCATAGGAGTTTGCTGAATATGTGCGGCAGAGTGAGAGGACGATGCCATTTATTTACTACAGATCCCAGAGGGCGTCGTAAATCCGTGCGGTTGTCTAGGGCCCCCCGAGAGGCAGCTGAGAACCTAGACTGCCCCCTCCACCAACTGGCCTTGACCATAAGGACAAGGGTTTGGCACCAATACCCTTTCCATGTCACCAGTATGACTACACAGTCATGGAAGAGATGACGGAAGGCACGCGGAGCTGGCCATGACTCTCTGATCATTTATTCTAAAGCCCACAGGCTCCTCACTCTGGCTGGAGAAACCAACCCATTGCATTGCAGAAGCTCTGGTCTGGCCCAGAGCCGGGTGCAGGTCTCTGCTCCTCCTCATCCCAGCCATGTCACCTCTCATTGTCCCCTAAGGATTGATGAGGTTAAATGACACAAGGCAGGGGAAGAGCTGGCAGAGTGGGGCTTGGTGATGGGTGGTGGTCACTTCATCTTCCCCCTCCCACTCAGCTGGAGGGAGATGTCGGAAAGCAGTTTACACAGCGCCACTGCTTGCTTGTCTGTCTCAGTGATGAACGCCCAGTGATGCCCACACCACTGCTCTGCTCTCTCCTATGATTTGCTTCAGTCTTCTTACTTCAGAGGGAGCGTGTAGCCTGGAATTACTCCTGAACTTGACCTGCAGACCCATGGAGCTAGGTTTGGGGCGGACAAGTTTCCAGGGTTAGGACAGGGTTCTTGGGGGAAATGAACAGCTCTCCCTTCCCCCAGAGAGCTATATCACGAGGGAGCCACCTTCCTGTGCAGAAATGGGTTTGTACACAGAACAAACTGCCAAGAAACAGACTGCCCAAGGTCATGTGCCTGGCATCACACAGTAGGATAAGTCCGTCCTTGCCCCGGACAGAGGGCTGTCCCCTGGGATCCTGCTTGATTTGGAGTGCCCATTGTGTTCACTCATTTGCTAAATGAACTCCTGTGCGCAAAGCAGTTCTCCACGTCTGCGGTGCTTAAAGCTCCTCGCGTGACCAGTCGTGGTTGAGTTTGACCCAGCCCGAGGGGGTACGGCCAGAGCCCCAGGCACTCCTGCAGGAAGCCTGGGCGGGAGTGTCTCCCCAGGCGGCAGCCCCTGAGGATGCCTGCAGGAGCCTGGCGTGACTTCCCCTCAGACCACAGGAGGGGCCTAGAGGCCCTCACCACTCCCAGAGTACACCCCGACCCACAGGTTAGGCCCAACAGGACAGGTCTGGACAGGAAGGGCCAAAGCCCGGCTCTCAGGCTCCCGTCTAGCAACCCCTACCCTGCCCCCCGCCAACACGCACACACACGGAGACCTTCCCGTGGCTGGAGACTGTAGACGGGAGAGCTCGGCCACCCCGTCCTCAGCCTCACTCAGGGAGCCCGGGTTGGCTCCCAGTCCAGTCTCTGCCACCAGCCCTGAGACAGGGGTGTTGGTTGCTCTGAACACTGGAAATGCGAAGCTCCATGCTGTGCGAGAACGTTCTGTCAGCCTTCCGAGGAGCTGAGGAGCCGTGGGGGCCCAGGAGCCCTGCCTGAGCTGCCGAGTAGACCAGTTCCTCCCTCTCAAGCCTAACTTCCGTCTTCTCTTTCC